ACACACACACACACACACACACACACACACACACACACACACACACACACACCATTCCAAGCACTCAGCTGCTGCTTGCATCACCAGCTCCAGAGCGTGCTCCGGCTCTCGGTTTCCAGAGAAACGTAATGACTTGCCAGTAATGTGCAGGAGCACACGAGCGTCCTCCGTGTAATATGGCGAGCGAGAGGTCCCTGGGAGTGCCTGCCCATTGTTTGCTTTAATTTCAAATTGCTCAAATGCTCCAGTCGACACTGGACCCTGCTCTAAAAGGGGGGTGTGGGTGGGGGGAGAAAGGGAAAAAAAGTGAATTGTGTGAAGCAGGGGAAAACCTATTAGAGCTGCAGAGAACAAAGAGAGGCAAAAGGAGGGGGCAGCRCTGGAAGGCCTCATATAGCTGCTGAGAATACAGAAAATGGTAAATAACTTTTACCACTTGCTTCTGGTGAAGTCAAAGTCTGTACAAATATTGTAGGATGTTGTCAGAGGAAAGGCGTTTCTGGAGAAAATCACAGCTGCTGTTTGCTTCCGCTGACTGTTGGAGTCTTAAAAGTACAGCACTCAGAGCTTCTGCGCCATTTATCCCTAAAAGCGAGCTGTTTTCAGGGCTTTGTGTCTGATGACCTGTACAAACCCTCAGCTGCATCACGATGTAAAACAAAAAGATTCACTGCTGCAAAAATTGTACAAATAAGACAAAAATACAGATTTATGATGATCCTTATATTTGTGAAAGTTTGCGCAGAGAAATTTTCTCGCTCGTTTTGTTTCTGCTGCTGATTTTATCTTTGGRGATTTAGAGAGAAAAAACCTGAACCGTCGTTGCAAAATGTGCAGAAATGAARCCGTCGTTATCTGATTACAACCCTCAGAATCCTGTTTGTACTGAAACAACAGGTCTGCTGCATCTGTCTGATTAAACATGTGGTTTGTTTATTTGTTTGTTGTGTTGTGCAGAAGCTGACAGTTCCTGCAGAACTGAAAGAAAGAAAGAGAGAAAGAAAGAAAGAAAGAAAGAAAGAAAGAAAGAAAGAAAGAAAGAAAGAAAGAAAGAAAGAAAGAAAGAAAGAAAGAA